CAGTGCTGTGCATGTGGCAGGAGAGTGAATCACCTGAAGGAGACAGTCAATAAGGGCCTTGTCTTCAGAGGGTGCTCACAGCCAGAAAATGCAGCAAGGAGCCAGACAAGCCTCAAACTAATGGAAATGAAGCGTTTATCTAGTGGTAAGACTGGAGGTACATCTACAGGAACAAATGTCAGTCTTACCCCGCAGGCAACCTTCCCAAAAGTAAAGGAAGAAGCTTAATTGAGATTAATGGCCTTTTTTGCTGAGGCCCATGGGAAGTCCTTATAAGGCAATGGGAATGTAATTTATAATACATGAAATTTTAGAAGATGTAAATAGCATATGACACTGAATGAGAAATGTCTTATGCCTTTCTCATGTTGTTTTTTCGAGACACTTTCGTCTGTTGGATTTAAAGTAGCATTCAAGTTTCTGTTTTTTGGAAAGCCAACATGCCTGCTTTATGCACCAGCATAATTGAAACTCTTAATGATGTCACATTGCTTCAAACCAGCTTACACTGTGGTCACAGATGATAGACTCTATAATGTAAGCTAAAGTAATTATACTTATATGTGTTGATTTTGCTTGTAGTGACATTTTTTCTAGGTTTTGTTGAATGTTAAACTCAGGTTTTCTCCATTTCCTATCATCTGCATTGATCTTACATATTTGTGCTCACACAGTAATGGCAAAACACCTTTCCACAGGAAACAAGGCCAAAATTTTTTATACAGTAATTCCTGCATCAAACCAACTATTTTAGATGAACCAGACTGGTATCCTGTTAAAAGGTATGTAATTTGAGAATTTCATATTATAGAGATTTAATCATTTATATAACACACGCACACATACTTTCAAGGATAAGGAAAAATAACTTACTATTTCCTTCGCTATATACTTGTTTAATATTATACTTCAACTGTCCTGAAAAGTCCTACACAAAACAGTCATCATCGTGCAAAACCTAATTTTTTCTGATACACACTGAGCATGTAAGGCATGTACATGTTCTTCTCATTTATATCAAGACATATAAATACACTTACAAATACACATCTCAAGTATACTTACCCAATCTGAAATAATTACATTCAGATGCTGAACAGAGTACTTATCCATAGCAGAAATAACTCAAGGTCTGTAATATTTTACCCTCAGTTTTTTCAGTTATCATCATTACTAAACGTTTCATTTTTCCTCAGTAGATTTATTAAAGCAGAGAACCAGAACTTTTATCTGTCTTTACCAGGTCTACTTAAAATCTTCTTGCATCTTACCTTTTCTTCTAACCAAAATTTTAATTTTGCTTTGTCCAAAAGTCTGATTCTTTCAAATGCTCTAATGAAACACAAATCCTTTTATGTTTTGCAGCCATCCTTCCTTTTATCCTTTGCTTTCAGACAGTGCTTGCATCATTTCATCTCCTCCTCACTTAGTGCTGTTCTTGAGTAAACAGTACTCCCAATCCATGTATCATCACCCTCAGAATAACTGTCATAACTTGCAAATTATAAAACACTACAGAAGAAATTCAGGCAAGTGTAATTCTGTTGACTACAGAGAGCTGTACTAACTACAATCAGTCTTGTTGTGATCCTAACATTTTACTGAACACTCTGTGCTTGAGCTGAACATTCCTTAAGACTCACACCATGCAATAATCTTCCATAACTTTTCGTGCTTTACATGATGGCATTTGTATGCTACACTAATTGACATATTAAGTTTCTTTGCATGTATTTTTCTCATGACTAGTTTGCTTCATTAAATATTTAACTTGGAAATAAAACTGTTCTTAAGAAAACTCTTCCTACTTGGAGGATACTCATCCTATCCTAAAGCAATCAAAATCAAATTTCCTATATACTGTAAAAATCAATGTCAGTTTCATGGATAATGCATAGAGCAGCAATTAATAATAATTTTTCTATACTATAAAAAAAGAATTTTATGCTTTTCTGAATTCAAATGTACAATTTTCAATCTACTTGGTATAAGAAAATCCTAAAATTATTTTATGTTCTACAAGAGAATGGTGGGTTGCCCCAAAATATGGTCTAGAATCCAAGATTTAAAGCACGTTTTTCGTATTATACACAATACTAATGTCTCAACAATCCTGTCCAAACTTACCAAGGTTCTGTGCTTGTGGTCCTTCCTCAGTCTCTGTTGGTACAAGCTTACATTCAATCCACAATTAAAATTAAATAGTTGCCTTGTCATTTTCCTTACTATTTTTAAGGTAAGGGATAATGTTGCATGGCTTTTGTCTCGTATTCTTAAGGAAACAAAAGATCTCACAAAAATTATATGAGACAAATTAGTAATTTTTAAGATAAACTTTTATTGAAAAATTAAAACTGCATTGCATAACTTCTTTATAACTTCAACATTTCTTAAACCACAAAACAGAGATTCTGTTTAAAAAATCTCTTCATATTTGTCACCATTCAAAAAACAGATTATGAGCTAATTCCATAACGATTTTAAAATTCTGGATTATTCCCAAGGCCCCTGCTTCTGGCTGTCTGCTGTGAATATCTTAAAATTACATTTAATAACACAATCAGATTTTTTTCTCATTCAAAATCACCAGCTGCTCTTGATTTTTATCCACTGGTCAGTCTTTTCCAAATAAATTATATCAATTAATAAGCACTGTACCTACCTGTTCAGCTAAGATCTTGCCTATTGTTTAATTGACGTGAATTCACCAATGCAAAGTTACAATGATTGTCCATGTGATTTTAAAGGCAAAATTACTACCTCAGAGTATATTTTAGACCTCAGAAAAACAAAGTTGCTCACCTGGAATTAAAATACTTTACATTAGTCAATACTTCTGTATATCCATACATCCTAATCTCTCACAGTCAATAGTATATGGATTAAAAAGAAGGAAAATTCTAGGTCAGCATTAGTCTGAGAAGCTGTGGCATATTACTCAGATGGAAATGACCTAATAAGAAAAGAGATGAGTTTTCTCACTAATGACTATAACTCTTCTGTTAAAATCAGCTAACCAAGTCAGAAATTAGTATGAGCACAGTGCCTGTTGAACACAGTATATATAATTGGAAAACACCCTAGAATATGATATTAGAATAAAAAGCTTTGCAAAAATCTAATTGTGGTCATCTGTGTCAAGACACAGCACTACAGAAAAGCAAGATAAATGCAGAAGGTAGGAAGATTAAATTTAAGCCCTCTGTCTTTAGAGACAGCACCTATGCATTAACTGTCTCACTTCCAAAACAAGCAGGAGGAGCTCCATTATTCCCACCTAGCTGCAAACCATCAGTTGCAATTGGAAGAACTCTGATGCTTTTGACCTTCAAAACACGAGATATTCCATTAAATGAAGAATCAGAAATTTTAGTGAGCAAAACATTATGTATGAACCGAAGAACTGTTTGTGACTACATCACAGAACTGCCAGGGGCTTGCTGTAGGAAGGCCAGTCAGCTGTATTATGGTCTTTCCTACAGCTCCATGATCAGGGGGAAGATGATTCCCTTCGCCCAGTTTATATGCTTCAAGGAGAATTAACATCTCAGATACATTAAAGTATTATTAGAATATTGAGATGGTGATCTGGATACAGGGTACATGAGGTTAAAATATTAAGGTTAGAGGATTGAGGGTAAGTTAGAGCTTTAGTAGTACTGATATTGACAAGGGAGGTGGAGAAAATCAGAAATTCCCACCTAAGAACTGGTGGAAATCATAAGAACCATGGTTTTTGTGTGGAAGACATAAAATCCTCTAGTGAAGCTAAGTCATCAGTCCTACATTTTTTTATTAATTATATTAGTTCATATTGTTTATCATAAACAAGAAGGACTGAAAGAAATGTTTCAATCTTCTGTAGCTGCCCTTTGAATAAAGTAAAACTGAGACCAGATTTCAGACAGAAGTCTGAAATGATAATGTGACATGTACTTCTTCAAAACACACTTCTTTCTGTACTCTAAGAACAGTTCTCAATGAGAGGTCCTCTAGTTTTGATGAACAGCTGCTATCTATGAAGAATGACATTTAATATTATGGAAGTTAGTACTGAGGTCAATATTCATGCCAACAACATTTGTACTGCAGGCCTCGGGTCATGGATGTTTACATCAGCAAGTAATGAATACACAGTATTGAATACACAGTAATAAAATAGGCTTATAATTGAGGAAGATTGAGCTTTAAGATCAAGAAGGCAAGAAACCAACTACACTGTCTTGCAAAAAATCTAATGAAAGAAGTACTGTATTGATAAGATTACTAGGGGGTTTAATGATATGAAGTAACAATGCAGATCTATTTTGAAAGTCATATTCATAAATCTAAAGGTCAGTGAAAAATTTACAATAATTTTTGGATTCAACTCGATTTGAAGAAAATATTTTACAGAAGGTTATGAAAGAGGAATAAGCAAGAGCCCTATGAAAAGCTGGAAAGGCTGTGCTGTAGGATACAACATTCACCATAACTGCTTCTTTATTCTCCCTGTGCCAACACAGCCACAGATGTGAGATGCCATCCTCCAAAGACAGCCAGTGGGACCTGCAGGATGGAAATCTCTCTTGCCTGTAAGTGTCTTTGCACAGGACTGACAGGGCCAGAGTGACTGAAAAAACTGCATAGCATGACTGTATTTCACAGAAAGTTTCTAAAATAATTCAATTTTGTGACTGAGGTAGAGGGGAGGGAGAAAAAGCAATTAACTACTGACTTGCAAAGAATCACGTATGAAAACACTTGAAAGTAGCATATTCCATTTATCACCATGACACTAACTCAGTGAACAGAGGATTATTGAATCTCCATTTTGTTCCACTACTCTGTTTCCAGTATGGACTTTTCCACTCGGTAATATCGATTATCTAATGATTAAAATTGATCAAGCTGCAGATGAATCTGGTGTCTATACTTTGAAAAGCCTAACCAGTTGAAACTACTGGGACAAGCTAGCTGCATTAAAAGATACTGAGATTATTTTTAGTTTCATTTATTTTATAAGCTCCAAAAAATATAGTGAATTCCACTTCACTAAAAGAATTATACTGGTTAAAACTCCCACAGAATTTAGTTTAAATGGTCACACAGGTCAGTCCTGAAATCAAACTCAAAAACAGGGGCCTTGGTTAGCAATCAATATTCACTAGAAAAGCATTCAGAACACTTAACAGACAGTCTGACGTTACAATGAATAAAACTGAAATTTCTAATAATTCTAATAGATTAAAGGGATCCCATCGTTTGGTAGTCTATACACAATGTCAGAACTCCTTATCTTCAGTAAAATTATCTGTGAGTTATTACTTTAAGGGCACTAGGATTTAAATGAAAGTGTCAACTAATATTTTCGTATTCTTTCTTTGGCTCACAAAGACACTAAAATACCATAAACATTATTTAGAACTTCAATAATATATAAATAGGTTACATTACAAACGGAAGAAAATACAAGACAACTCTTCAGCATGGTAAATCTCTGCATATAAATAAGCAAATATTTCAGATACCTACAATCAAACAGTTATCTTGCTGTAAAACTATTACATTTAAATCCTTTTACACAAAGTCATTTAACAATAATGTACACAATCTACACAAATTAACCTCTAAAAATACAGCAATAATATACCTGTTACAATGACTGTGCTACTGTCATCCCCTGATTTGACACTAAAGGGCAAGTACAACTATTTTACTCAAAGGTGCTCTTAGAGATTGCTGTTTTGTATGTGAGAAAAGCACCAACAATAAGATCTAATACTGTTATGCATTTGTCTTTAGCTCCTAAGAATCTACATTTTAGAAATGTTTCTATATGTCTATTTCTGTCTGGCAGAAAAACTTGTAGCACATTATCCACATCAAAGTTGTTGAAGGAAAACTTAATTTTCTTAAAGTGGAAAACATGCTGTGGCTTAGATCTAATTTTATAACCACTTTATATATATATATATGTATGTATATATATAATTATATATATTTATTTATACTGTACATATATACTGTGCAGAGTTCTTAATTTGCTATTTTAATACTTATTAATTTTCTGCTGTCTACAATAAACAAGACTAATGTAAGAGTCAATAGTACTTCAACTTCAAGATAATATATTTTCCCTCAATATGATCTACCAATACTTCTATATTTCAGTAGCCTGTAGTTGTTTTGTTTAAGGTTGTCTTAGGAGACTGGAACTTACAGAAGGAGAATTTCCTTAAAACATGTTCTGCAGAACTGGGTTTAAAACATAGCCAGTGGTGGAAAACAATGAATTAGAGAAATAAATATTTAAACCACTACAGGTCCTGCCCCAATCTCTCAATTTCCTCAATGAGGAAGTCAATGTCAGACTTAGTTGCTGCTGGGTTTGAGATGACCATTCGGAAGAAGTTGACTTTATCGCCCTGGGGCTGATATCCAACCATGGTGGTACCTGATTCCATCATCAGTGCCTTGATTTTTGGTGCCACCTTTATCATTAAAAAAAAAAAAAGAAAGAGAGAGAAACAAAGAGAGAAGAAAAAATTATTCTTTCCTTGTATGTTACAGCATTTCTTAATTCAGAAAAAATAAATTGACAGACATTTGTTTTAATAAAAAATGTCTGTAACAAGAAAAAGCTTGAAAAACTAAATACGTAGGATTGAATATTTAAAAGAAAATTGACAACAATAATATCCACCTTTTTGATTTACAAATTAATAGCATCCCAGAGTATTCAACATGTAATAATTTTTTATCTTAAATGCTATCTTGTTTCTTTGTGCTGAAGATTTTGTCACGATAAAACATTTTTTGCTTCTATATGAAAGTCCACTCCAGACCTTCTTGAGGGTAATGAATTTTTTCCATTAGAGTTTTATGTATTCTCAAAGCATTTTGTATGTGGGGACAACAATGGAAATTTTTCAACAAGATCTATGTCATAAAGAATATCTTTTGTTAGCATAAGCCATGGAAACCTTCCAGTAGTTTTGCAGTACTGTGCATTTGCCACAATCTCACTTCCTTGGTTTAATTTACAAGGAATAATGTTCTGACAGTCTTAATATTTGGTATTGACTAAACCCAGTTTTTCCATCCAGACCTTCATTCTCCTGCTCTACTCTCTGCCAGGCAAGGTCAGATATCTGGCTCTTTTACTGTTTTGTAGAATGTTTTATAGTGTCCTCTAACATTTAACATTTAATCAAATCAAATATTTAATCTCTCTTGCTGTTTCTTACCTCTTACCTCTATCTTCCTCTATTCTTTTTTTTTTTTTTTTTTTTTATTTTTTTTTTTTTTTTGGCAATTTTTTTATCTAACAGGGGACTGGCTTGACCCAGGAATTTCTATTCTCTTTCCCCATTGCAATGCAGTCATTAAATCCTTTACAAAATCTCCCAAGTTTGCCCATTCTTCTCCCTTCCACACACACAGACACAAAAGAAGAATTATTTTTGACACCTGTGAAATAATTCTTTTGTCTCCTGAATGTATTTCATTCCACTTCTGTCTAAAACACCACTACAAAATTACTGTATTTTGCTTCCCTCAAGTCCTGAGTAACACGACATCTTTTCTGGTGGTGCTTCTATAATGCCTTCACTTCCCTCTACCACTTCAAATAAATGCATCCCAAAGTCCTCCAAAGGGTATTCATTTTCACTGAAATGCGTCAATGCATTGGCATTTAAAATCAAAATAAATACCTGAGAAGGAACTTACAAATTTTCATGTCCTTTACCTCTCCAAGCATTTTCAAACAATTACCCTTCTGTTTCTCTTGTTGAAAAGCTGTCCTATCCAAAGAAGTTTGTTGTGTCTGTAGGCCTAGCTACGGTTTGAAGGCTGCTAACACTTGTGAGGACAGGATAACTGAATGTGTTCTGAAACTGATTCTCTAGGGAAAACATTACTTCAGCATCAATATAAATAGAAGACAAAAGTGAACAAATATCAAGGTCATAATAAGCAGTGGAGAACTGATGTCTCAGAATTTGGAATTATCTTTTTACATTTAACCAAAAATACTCACCCTGTGTAACTTTTCTCTTCTCTCATCAGAGTCTGGCATGCCCCTGAGACTTGGAGGAATATACCAAAAACATACATTTGTATGCTCTGGCTGCAAAAATAACCAAACATATACATCAATTAAAAAATTATACAGATCACACTAAAGGCTAGTCAGTAGTGTATTTTGTCATAGACATGAAAGACAAAATATAGGATTAACTTTCCTAGTCCTCCATGTTAAACAGAAAGGAATGGATTGCAATAATGCTGCTTGCCTCTGCTGCCTTAGATTCCCTATACATCATCCCATTTGCAATATTTAGGTTGCTAATGAAGTGCAAATGCTATTCCCCTTTGTGCAGTTTTATGAGTAACTGTTTTTCAGGATCACAGCAAGGGCAATCCAATTTTCCTTTTCTTAGTAAAGGGAGAAATGAAGTTTATATTATGACCCAAAGGTTTATGTAGTGGCACTAGCAATAGAATATACAGCAAAAATAGCAGATTCTCAGTTATGTAAGTAATAATCTCAGTATGAGTAGGTTGTACTAAGATAATCTTCATTCCCTAAACTGAGAAGGCCTCTGCAGAAGAGGAGGAGATAAACCTGACATTTATGGTACAAAACCACATGTATTTGACAAAAAACCTGCCCAGATGCAAATGTCATGTAGTTCTTTAGAAAATAAGAGCAGTTTTGCATAGCTGTTTTGAAGAACTGTGAGAAGCATGAAGACAAATTTGGTTCATACATATATGAAAGCAAACTTACCTCCCCTTCAAAAACCATCTCAAATTCTTCTCTGTTTTTGATTTTAGTGTAGAGATATTCTGCCAGGTCCAGGCATTTATTGATCTGATTTTCAAATCCTACTGTACCCTGTTTTAATAAGAAAGTAGGTACTAATTATATGGTCTTTTTTTATTTTCTGCTCTGATGCAATCAGGTTTTCAGATAGGTTTCACTCTTAAATATTTTCAGGCAGAAAATATTTAGCAGTATTATTTCTTGTAACTTAAAAATAGAGTTAATCAACAGTAAAAAAGTGGCTAAAAGTGGCCCAGTTGTAAGTCACTATTAGTTTTGTTTCATTTTAAGATAACTTATTATGAAAATAACAAGGACTTTCACTATTTTTAGTAGATTATTTTAAGTCTTCAGCATTTTTTCCGGTGTCCAAAAATATGGATATTATTCCTGTCTTCACAGCTGGTGCTGAAAGACCAGAAACTTGGAATGGGAACTCAGTTGAAAGTGTAATAATTGAGAAGTAAATTATTTCCTCTGAGCAGTTTGCTAGAAATGGGCATTTAATCAGCAAGCAAAAGTCTGCAATATGTTTACTAGGAGTCACTTATCTACCCACTGATATCCTGTCAAGATCAAAATCCAGGAAAAAGCATATGAATTTTGATAATAAATAGTTGGAGATTTTTTTAATATACTTTATACATGAATGAAGCAGCAAGCATTTTCTCCCAAAGTGAACATTTTTTTATTATTTTAGAGTTTATCATTAGATTTAATATCAATTTTATTTCAAAAATTGGACTCTGGACAGGTTACGGAACTGAATTCCCATTTTACCAGGAGAAGAGCAAGAATAACAGTAATGAGATGACTGCAGATAAAGCTATAAAAATGGAATGTGTTTTCTTGACTACATGAGCTCTCACCTTGTGAACATGTAAGCCTGACCATAAGCCCATGCTTAAATTGAGCCATCCAGGCAAACCACAGTAGTACCAGGTAATCAGCTGTGGAATCGTCACTCGGGCAATGCTTCCTCAGAAAAAGGCTTTGTTTTCCAAGTCATTTATAATATCTGTGCATTGAAATGTCATGTTCAAAGGACCCTTGTGAGTCATCAAGGCTACTCTGCTGTTACTACAAGTAATCTGTCATAAAATAGGTATGCAAGTGTGGAGCATCACAACAAGAGATCATTTTGGTGCCCTGCCTTCAATGGTTTTTCTGCAGGACTCATCTAGTGACTTTAACCTTTCTTCTAATTGCCATCTGAATTTACTGACAGCTAGCATTGTTCTACAATTCACATAGTTCCTTTCTGAGTTAATACTTGGATACTTGTGTGTTTAGAGATTGTAATGACACAAACATTTATGCTAAAGTAAAGTATTCCATTACATGACACTTAGCAATTAAAGAAATAAATTTCTGGGTTTTGAGCTAAATTCTTGTTATTTACCTTTGCTTTCCACATCAACCAGAATTTGAAAATGTCCACATGTCGACCACACTGTATTGCCTTATCTCCAGTGTCATAGGAGACATCATACTGTTTGTCTGGCTGGAAGAGATAGCCTGCACACATTTGATTGCAGCCTTGAAGGATACCCTACAATGAAAAACACATATACTTTTATGACTTACCTGGCATTTGTGCATGAGAGAATGTACACATTAATAATGTATAAGAATGTATTTCAAGCATGTACAGGAGAATTGCTCTTTGATGGGACATATTATAACACAGTGACCTTGTTTTGTAAACCTGAGCCACGAAATTAATTTCATAACCCGAGGTGGCTCTCTTAGAAGTCTCTGAGTAGTCATATGTTTTTCACACACACAAACACTCTGCCCCTCAGAAAACATTCACAGATCAATTTGGATACTTAGTTTGTGATATTAGCTTTACTCACTTCAATTTATCAGGCTTTGCTCTTTAAATTTATGATTTGTTAAATTACACACTAGAATAAAGCTGTGGTCTCTCAGTGCAACAGATTCCTACACAAAATGAAGTGAAAAACTTAACTGAAGGTTTAAACTTTGTATGTTGTTCAGCTTTATGACACTTAACATTAGTGATAAGTACAAATGACATAAACTGGACATTTTTTGCATAAAAATAAATATGGTTCTCAGACCAATAGAAATCTATGGACTACTGGTAAAAATGTCTGGCAGAAACACTGAGCAGCAAATTCCTGTATGTTACACAGAAGTCTTACATGTGATAGTCCTTAAATGGTTTGTATTTCCTTTAGAGTTTATTAGTGATTTTTACAAGAAACTTAAAGACACCAGTGTGTCTCATAAGTACAAAAACATCTATCAAAATTCTCGTATAGAGAACAAAAACTCTTGCCAAAATCCTGCAATAGCTGGCACAACAAGCATGCATGCCACTAAACAAAGCTCGTGGTTCCCTTTGATAGATGTGTTTTACAAAGGGAAATAAATGCTGCAGTCTACAGTTTAGAGACGGATCAGCTGCAAGAATGGCAGACCCAGGGCTGCAACTTACAGCTCTTCCATCTCAGTTCTACACACAGGGATTACTTCTTCAACCAAGCACTTCTAGCAATTGACATACAAGAGATCAGTAGACAACATCATTAGTCCTACCCACAACTGATATGATTTTATTTTTTATCATTTAATAGAAATGTATTACTTAAAAGAAACAAGACACTCGTTTTGTTTTCATCGATGACAACAGAGAATCTAGATGTCAGCCCTAAAAGTACAGTCATAATAAAAGCAGCATGTTTTCTTTCCAACAGAACTAGGAAACTTCTAAACTTTGCCTTGTGTAAGGTAAAAACTTGCTTCTTACTTAAGCAGTTTAGACTGTGACCAAGTGCTAAGACTGAGGCTCTATGTTCAATATATCATAGAAACAATGGGGCAGGTGCTCAGATGAAGTACATTAGCATGGCTCTAGTGTTGCTATTAGAATATGCAAAGATCCAGCAGGTGAGGATCTGAAGTATGTTGTCTAGAACTTTAATAAAAAAAGCCAAAACCCCAGGACAGATAAAACAACTTCCAAACCACAATATAAATCCACACAATTATTCCTTCCAAAAGAAGTTTTGGAATTAAACAGATTTTTCTGTATCCTCTTAAAAAGTAGGGTTTGATATTAATTTTTTTTAACTATTTAATTATTAAATATAAGGCAGACCTTCTCCCGGACAAGAATGGCAGAACATTGTAACAGCACACCCATCATCTTGTGTGGATTCCAAGTGACTGAGTTGGCTCTGGAAAAAAATTACACATTCAGATAGGTCTGGAAAACAGAAGCTAAATCTGAAGCAGTCACCTTTGTTTTCTGCTTTCAGCTGGAAATATATGGAGTTTTGCTAAGATATCACTATGGATATTATTACTGTCTTAAGTGTCTTCTTTCCCAGCTATGCTGTCCAGGAAAAGAATTTTTCATGTTAACGTTGCAATTTCAGACTTGTGATTAGTTTATATTATTGCTAATACCATCTAATTAGTATCAGACTGATTAGCTGATACAGTAATATCATCCCCAGAGGAATTCTATTCTAGAAATAGCACTAATAAAAATAACAAAACCACTTTGACATGTTCTATTGATTCAAGGTACTGAGGGGGAAAGCAGGGCTGCCAGAGAATTAAGGGACTTAATATGAGTTGTGGGAGAATACACACACTAAACAGCTTTACTAAACAGCTGCTGGAAAAAATAAGAAGGAAATAAAAGTATGTTCTGCATGCTTACCTGCTTTCCCAGTTAGAGCCACAGCCCTTGCTTGTCAAGCCCATGGACTGTTAAAAGGACCTAAAACTTTACATCACATCCCTACCATTCTATATGTAAACCTTCAAATTTCTTACATGTAAACACAAATGAATGCACAAGATCACCTAATTTACAAGTCAAACAGATGTTCTGTACTTTAACAGACTATCCTAGACGATTTAATGGTGACACTGAAATAAATGTGCCAACATTGCACATCCATTGACCTTTTCACCCTAAGTAATTAATTACCAAGTGTCCCCTTGATTCACTGCATGTTCCAGAGAAGCAAAGTGCATAATTGTATTTCACAGACCAAGCATGTGTTTTTACAGTGTGGTTGAAAGAAAATTAAAAGGTATTTCCTCCCCTTCTACACCCTGCTCTCAGAGGACACAGACACAACCACGGTTTCTCTGTTTTGAGCAGCGCAGTGATGTCTTCACCCCAGCCCGAGGACAACTGATTTCTAGATACAATTCCAACCCCTGTATGTGCTAGGTTAGACTGTAGCACCCATCAGCTGAAAGAACAGTGCAGCCTGTGCTGTACCTGGGGAGCTCACTATCCACCTAACATCAGCTTATGCGGTGCAAACCAGCAGATAAATACCTCAGAATTAGGAGGCAATTATCTTTTAGAAAATCTTCACTAATAATTCTGATGGAACAGTCTGGAAAAAGGAATTTCTTTAACAAATTATTTCCTTCTTAAAACACCATGCCTTCGGTTTAGCATATTCATTTAACTTTCAGAGCTTCAAACAAAGTCAGTTTTAAGTCATTCCTCACAAGGAGCATGAGGTTTATTTTAACACGAAGCTGTCACTCTCTCCTCAGTGCAGCCCCGGGCAGAGGCTGTCCTACTACAGGCAGTCCCAGCTCTGTGCCATGGCAGCATGCCAGTGCTCCATGCCAATGTGTCTGAGCAGGCCAAGTGCGACCTGAGTGTGAGCACAGAGCCCAGCTGGGGCCTGTGACAGGCAATTACACCGTGCACGTGGGCCCCATCCCATGTTTGAAGATCTGTATAGCTGACTAGGAAAGAAATAATTTCATGCTTCATGGCCTGCTGCTTTCTGTATTTGCTTAAAATTATAGCCTTGATTAGCACCTCAGAGTTGACCTCAGGTCAAAAGGGGTGTGCCAAACTCCTGTGACCAAACCTCTGTATCTTAAGAAAATTATTTTGGAATGCTGACTTAATATTAGACACGTTGCCATAAGTCACAAGCAAATTGGGCTGGGCAAAGGCTGATAGGATTCTGCTATTCAGAGTACTCCACACCACATGCTGCTGTCCTTGCAACAGAAGATTCACGTGGGTTTTCTGCCAGTCCTTCCACAAGCTATGCTTGATGGTGTACTTATTCTTCACTTACTGTATATGTTCAAACCTAGGATAGTTTGTGTTCCCTAAGGAAGAGCATTGCTCACTGTACTCATTTTACAATTTTACACAGTGTTCATATTCAGAACGGCCAGCTCAAGGTAGCAATTTGGTGTTAATTTAAACATACATGGATAGAGCTTGCTTCAAATATTTCTTGCTTCGCTGAAGGCTGATATCTTCAATGATGGAAAAGGTCTGGAATTTCCGATTCTTTCTTCATTGCTTTTCTGATTTTTTTCAGATGGGCAGCATTTTATGGTAGAGCACTTTCAGAGGAAATCTAGAGACCAACACACCCCTGGGATTGTAAATATAGTATCTTCTACAGACTTGTCATCAATGGATATGGGAACAACTGTGCCAAAGACTATACCTGGAATGACTCCTAAGTCGAAATTGTAAGGACCAGTGGGAGGGTCACACTGTCACTCTGCTGTCACTGCCAACACAAATGTTTTGCCTCTTTAAGCTTGATTCCATCAAAGGCTGGCTTGTGGTCTCAGTGGGCATCTTGAGTTCTGTACCTGGGGGTACACACATGCTCTTTTCTGCAGAATTCACTCTGACTTCTACAAGAGCTTCCTGCTTGATTCATGTAATCCCCACATGGCACCAACACACAACCAACGACTCCTGTGCCCTGTGAGAGGTGAGCATCTGTGACCCTTTCTGGCCTCTCTGTAAATTACCTCAATCTTCTCCCTAGTACAGCAGAAGTGTAGCAGCTCTGTCTGTCATAGTCCTTTCAAGCTCTAAAGGTTCTAAAACTTGCCCCTGAAAATTGCTGTTAATTCAGTCTCTACCTCCTCTCTTTGTTGTATACACCTATCTATTTTGTGTGTGTGTGTATAAATAAGAGTGATGTAAGACTAAGAATATATATGTGTTCCATTTACAGAACACTCATGAACACATACTCTTTATTTTCCAGAAAAACTGCAAACATCTTTCAGGAGAGAACCTCTACAAATTCCCACTGTGGATATTCGTGCTCCACCTTCCCTGGATCCCTCATTTATCACTACTATTCTCAAAGCCCTACACTTCAGAGATTGTCTAGGTCTCACACTTCATTTTTTTCTTCAAATACTTCTCCATCCATTCCCAGACTTATGATCCCTTCAAAGCTATGCATAGAAAATTTTCCCTTCCTTTTTGCCAAGTAATATCCTTGTCTTCCTTCAAATCTGCTGAAAACTTACCTCTCACTCAATGGTACATCACAGATGTTTTCTGTAGTATTGTTTCAATCTCCCTAGTCTGAACCTTTCCCCCTTTTGTCTCACTATTGCTTAATTTAGTGTTTAAACTCCTTCACAAAGCAGAGTAATATTTTCATGAATTGTTGAAGTGTCAGGTACCTTTTGAAAGTACTTTAAGAACAGTATTACAAATAAGCCCTGTGTTGTACCTTTCTATTCCATTCAGTTTATGACGGTGCTTTCGGGACATTAAGAGCCCACCTCCCCACGCAGCCTGGAAGAGAAAGAAAAAGAAGATTAATTTTTTTGAAAAAGCTCAACAGATTTTAGTTTCCTCAGGATCTAGTAATAAATATTTTAATTCAAGAAAGGAAGTGTAAACTAAGATCCTCTTTTACCTGAATAGCAGCACTTTTTTGTTACTTACATCTACATGGAGCCAGAGGTTGTATTTTTCACATATATCTGCAATCTCCTGTATTGGATCAAAGGCTCCATAGACTGTTGTGCCTGCAGTCGCGTTTACAAAAAGAGGAACGTAACCCTACAATAAAAATTAAAATATCAAATATAAATTGAAAACACTTTCAGAAAAAAAAAATAAAAGGAAAACATTCCATCCAGAAATATTATTTCATTTTGTAACCTAAAAATGTTTTTCTTCCCATGTGAAAGGCACAACATAAGCAACAGTAGAAACTAACTGATCATATACATGGTAAGAACAAGCTCTGTTTCTTTATTTTCTTGTAACGTCACAAAATTAACTAGTTAGAAGATAAAGAATATTATTTTGTCTAATCTCTTTCAATGAGGAGATTCAAACAATGTAGTGGAAGATGAGCAATACTCAAGTAAATTTGGGACTTTTACAGCAGTATAAACAAAAATTAATTAAATGCGATTTGTAAGCCACGATTTGAAAGCTTGAAATTGTTTCTTTAGTCTTTACTAATAAACAGAACAAAGTAGAACAAAGCAAACTACAACAAAAGCAATAAATGAGAAACTATCAGATCAAAGAGAGAGAATTTTAAATTAGATTAAATAAATGTAAATGAAATAAACTACTATTTCATAGTGTTCAAATGTAAAGAAGTTAAGAAATTTAAAAATTAATAATCTTGATTTCTCTTTGGTTATTTTATAAAAATTTCATGGGTTTTTCCACTGCATTGATTCAAGAAATAGCAATTAATGCCTAAAATTTAAGCTTACTTTTTATATTTAACAAATATACATGCTACCTTCATGAAATCTACAGGGTTTTTTAAAGGCTCTGTAGAATCTTTTATGCGTTTGGCTAAACTTAAAAGTTTGAAAGATTTTCTGTTTCCATGCTTGTTTCCATATATTTCCAAGCTGGAAGTTATTTTTAAAAATCATGAACTACAGCTGTGTATCAAGAGTTAAAAGTCTTTCAGTTTTAAACAGAAAATGGAAACCTTACCAAGACATAAAGATAACTCTGAAAATAATACAAGAAAGTATAATTAAGCATATAAAAATACTGCTATTATATTTATCTCATTATAATGTTCTCTTTAATATCAACACTCAGGCTTCAAAGGAAGAAGCAATTTTACAAAGCCAAGCAGTTAAGCACTAAGTTTTAAAAACACAAACCTTTTCTTTTGCTTCCAGAATTTTTGCCTCCAAATCAGCTGGTATTATTTTGCCTCTGTAATTATCACAGAAACAGAAAGACAAAGAAAATTAAATAATATATATGGAAATAATAGCTGCAGTTGAAATAATTTAATAGGATTTTCTCAACAGGCCATTAGCAACTTGACACACTGTACTGAATCAGTCCTTAAACACAATAAAACAAATTTAACAGATGAACACATTTAATATATCAAAACTTTAGTATTCAACCTACCTTTCATTGCATTTTATCAAAATAACATTGTCTGTTCCAAATCCGAGAGCAGCTCCAGCTTTCTTTATTGAGTAGTGACTCTGCAGCAAACATACAAACATGAAATGGAGTGGTTGTTTAATGATGAAGCATTTTCACAACATATGTCAGTAAATTAAGAATTAGCAGTGTATTAAGCTCACATGCTCTGAGGTAAAGAGAACCAGTTTAGGAACTGCAGCCATGCCTTTGGTTTTAACTTCAGGGAAATACTTGTAGCGTGCAGCCATTATGCTGTACATGTTGGAGATTGCTCCTCCTGTGAATGAATAAATAAATGAATAATAAAGTAGTGAAAATGAAAAAAAAAAGTATCTTATACCACAGACATACAAGTCTCATTTGCATAATGCGGTGAAAGTGGCAGTGAACTATGAAAAAATATTTCTCTGAAATGCACAGGCATCTGTCTAAATAGCATAGGACACGCTCTCGAGAAAGCCAGAGTAATAATCAGAATTTCCTAAATGCCATCTCTTTCAATTGCTATCATTTTGTAACATATTCTTAAAAAGTTCAGCTTTCATTGTGCTGCTTTTGCATGGTAACTTCTTGTTAGCAAGAACAGCAGGAACTTACTGACTTGTCTGAGATTGTAGAAATGTCACATACTGGATGGATTTATCTCATCTTACTGTCAACATAGAAGTAGATACTTAAAGGTAAATTTCTACAGCTGAGCTGCTTCTAAACTCCCTCACAGTCAGGTATGGGAAAGAGGCACTTCACAAGCTATGATTCAGCTAATCTATTTTCACACTTTGGAAGAATTTGAATAGAGGGAAAGCATCTATTTCTCTTGGTTTGCTGCAAAGAAGAGCCCTGTACAATTAGCTCAGCTCTTCGGTGCAAACCCCAAGTTTTAATAAGATCAATCTCACTCCTAAGCCTAGGATGACTGCTTCCTCTAAATTTTTTTCATTTATGAGAACACAGAAAAATTGGTATTTTTTCAGCACATAGGACTGGAGGTCAAGGACGTGTGCACTTTTAGTGGGCTGTTCCAAAAGGAGGTGGTTTTGTCATTTATGCTCTGTAACAGGATGGTGTTTTCTCATGCCAAACCCAGAAAAAGTTCTGCTGGGCACCCACATTGTCCACACATTGGCCCAGGACCTTCACATGGTTCATCATCAGTCATTTCTGTCACTGCTCACTGCCTTTATGTTCCTTGCATGCCAAGACACTTTGTCTTGGTCTTTTTACTAGAACCATACTTGGGAACCCAGTCAGATTATATTCCAGATAAACTGTCCCAGAAAGTGACAGACAATCACAACCTTTTCCTGACTGCGAGCCCAAATCCTCACTGACCACCAAAGAGATTTTTGAGAACTTCTTGTCAACAGGAGCTGTGGTTGCTCAGCATGTCCAGAAATGAAGCTCATAAAAGGGGTGTTTAAATGCCTAACTGTGCACCAGAGCCCAAAGCCAAGCTTTAAATGCTGACCAGCCATAGTACATAGCCATATACAGAGATAAGTTTTCGCCCCAACTTTTCTGTGGTATGTTTAAACAAAACATTCCTACTTCTAAATATCTGACTCACTGCTATATTCAGACACAGCCTATGCTTATTTTAACTTTTGAAGTTTTAGTCAAACCACCAAAACAGAGAAGAAAAACTCACCAGGAGAGAATATGCCATCACCATCTTTATTTGACCATCCAATAATCTCCCTCATCTTTCGAAGTGTTATTTGTTCCATAAGGACAAAAACAGGGGCAATTTCATAGGTAAACCTGCATGGATCAAGCAAATAACCACAATATAGATACAGATTCTAAAAACACATAATAAATTCCCAGTCTGTCATTCTTTGTTAAAATACTCAAGGCTTCTAAAAGTTTTCCTGTAACTTGAGGTTCTGATCCTGAACCTTTATCCAAGCAAAAATCCTCAGGAAGACAATATTGGAAATACTGATGAATAAAAACTGCAGTATTAGTTATTTTGCAGGTTTCTATATAGTGAATGTAGGACTTAATGGTCAACATCATAGCACCGCTGACTTCTGTACAAGGTTGTCCTGTAAAACAATTGTTTCCCAAAGTGCCAATTACACAATTGTGGAATAACACACTGCTAAATCCTTATGAAAACAGTGAACTTCACTGAGATAAACAAAATCATAATTAGAAGTATTGAGCTAGGGTTTCAAAGTCTAAATATAATTAATTATGTGGATTTATTCTGTTGATGATCTCCAAGGACAACTTACTTCTACAATAAAACTCGATCAATAACTGTCAAGAGTAATTACAAACGATGATTTTCTAATTACCAATTACCAAAATCAAGTCAGCAGTCAACTATAGTATCCACTTAATGAGGGCAAAAAACATTACATATCCTGGCATGCCCTGATGTCAGAGTCAGATACGTGGATGGAAATTGACAACCATACAACTATTTTTGGTGATCAAGGTACATGGATAAACTCTTACTGCTGTAAACAAATCCTGCTTGCTGTGCATGGGGACAAAACTAAGTAAGGGGGAAAATGAAGCAGAGAGAAATGAGAAAATCAACCTCTGATTTCCAAAGGAATCTATAAGAGTATGACACCCTGACATTTTGGATTTGACTGATATCCTCTGCTTGAATAATTTCATCAAAACGTCTCTCTAATACTAAAATGATATTTTGAGAATAGGTACAGCAAAATCGAATGAGATGATATTAAGAAGGGAACAAGTGTCTGAAAAGGCTTGTCTTTTATTTACAGCTACACTGGTTGCTTACACTGTTAATATTTTCTTCAATTTTTTATGCATCCTTAGTCCATCAGAGAAACACCACCATTATTTTTAAAACATTCCCTTAGACTAAAAATGTGTAATTTGTTTTATTATTGTGATTGCTATTTTCAGAAGCCAAAACACTACTTATTTTGTTTTTACTACCATTAGAATTGGTAGAGACAGTTGAATTTTCATCTGAAGTTTGCGTACTGCCACTATTAACAAATGGACAAAATTAATAAATAGCATCTGCTAAAAGTGGCTTGGGTTGTTTTGTTTTGAAGCACTGCAAGTCTAGAATATATTCCAATCTTTATTTTGCCAGAATGATCAACTAATGTCCACAGGAACTCAGCAGTATATAGGTCACTGTAGCTCAATACAAGGTACTCTTAAGTCAATGTGATTATTTTTTTCCCCGACAGTTTAAACACATTTTGAGTTTTGTCCTGAGACCTTGCATACCAAATTTTAAACATATTTAAACACAAAGAAAATAGTACTTATTTATTCTGTTCTATAATTATTTTCTGAGTCTCCAAAAACTGACAAGAAATAAATGACAGTAGATGTTTATAAATTACAAGGCCAATTAAGCTATATTAGGTGATGGCTAGGAATTTACAAATCATGTCTTTTTAAAGTTCACTCCACCTTACTTGTTTTAAACTTAAATTATTTTGAAAAATTCAATAAAACCCAAAAAATGTGTTTGGCTTAAAAGGCACCATCTAACTTTAGAACCAATCTCCTAAAAAATGCTGATTAGATTTTTCCTATACTTACAACCTTTACAGGTATTTCTGTGAAATTAACTATAACAGTCATGAGTATCAGCTCTTTACTAACAGAACGTACTACAGTTTTTTGGTAGAAGCAAATAGCTTAATTCTGCTCTTACCTAAAGTATAATCTCTTTATCAGACCAAATCATTCTAGCTACCATTCTCTTGTGGGCCAGTATGTAAAAAGCAGTCTGAGAATAAACACAGAGTATTTTACATCCATTTTCTATTCATGAGCATATCTGCACAATACTGAAAACGCCAATATATTCCCTTGTCTCAGAACTGTGAGCATAAACAGAACTTCCAGATAATATTTATTTTTAACCTCAGTTGGCTGTTGCATGGTGAGAGAATGCCCTGTGCTACAGATCTCTAGAACAGGGCGAATAATGAAATCCTGAAATTTTCATGCTGAAGGTCTCAAGACTAGTGATTGAGCTATGAATAGCACATTGATACATTATTTCCAAGTCAATGTGGGAAGCTTATTATGTTTAATTTTAAATAATATCTTCACAGTGACATTAAAGTAATATTTCCTAATGATAATTTAAAATTTTAAGAGAGTACAGATGTTTTGATTATTCAAAACTCATCTGCAAAAGAAAACATATACTTTTAATTGTTCATATATATATTTTAAGTATTGTTTATCTGTAGAAAAGAAAAAGTAGCATATGGAAAACATTCTCTACCACAGTTCAATGTTACTGTTGTTTGTGTGTTATGTGCTCATGTAGCTGTAATAGATTAGAACAGTTTCTAGGTAAAGGTCAAAAACTGTTCTTGTGTGCTGAAACACTGCTCAAAACAAATAGTATGTTCCCCAAAGCTCTCAGAGGTGATTTGGTTATTTTTAAAACCTTCTCTGTCAGTCCTTTGAATCCTATTTTACAGACATCTTGCTTTAACCTTACTTGCAATTACTGTGTTACTTCAAAGCACACCATGTTGACTTTGGTTTCCTGAAAAAAAAGAGCACACTAAGCCTCATATTAACAAATAGATACTAAATTTTCATGTCTACAGAGAAGTATTTTCAAGACTTGTTCTTGTTCAAAGCACAAATGGATGAGAAACTAGCTATTTAACAGCTCACTTTCAAAAAGAAAAAAGAAAACAATTAAAAAGAGTTACTCTAAGAAGTGACTAAATGAGTGCAATGTTATTAATAATGATGTCAGTATTTCTTTATCCTGTCAGTCTGCCACAGAGCTGAATTCTTTTATGTCCTATCAGATTTGTGTAATTACAAAAGGATAACTAAACTGGGATAACTAAGTTAGTCAACAGTCTTGGAAAAAGTGACACTGAAATATTTGTCACAGAGAAACAACCTTTAAGCAAAGTTGGGGTTTTTTTTTAGAAATGTGATCAGAACTGCTTTCACTTTTAATTGTGCTGCTAAAAAGACACTTCAAAGCATTTTAAAGCACTTTGCAATACTTGTTTGACAATTAAAATATATATTGCTGGGTTTTTTTCCCATTCAGCTTTTAATCTGAATGTCTCATACCAATTTTGAGTAAACAGAGAACAAATTGAGATGATTATTACAAAGAGAAGGCTGGTTTTGGCTGGAGCACCTTAGGGCTTTATTTTATTGTTAATGTCACAAAACAGGCACAGCTCCTAATCTACATAGAGTTGCTAGTCAACAGCTATATTTAATGAACCATATACTCACAGGCCAGTGAAAATATTGTCCATTTTCCAATCTGAAGATACATTTCGTATGTTACGACAATTAGCAACAAACTCCCCAAAATAGAAGTCGCTTTACAGTTAAAACACACTCAGTACAGGACTAAAAGAGAGCAGTCTTACCTGCTGAATATTTGGACTCCCATCCCATTTTTGAACATATAGAAATCAAAATACAAATAAAAACTCACTAGAAGGTTTGGTGGAGTTTTAGTGGTTTGGAAGTTTTTTCTTATTGGTTTGGGGTTGTTGGGGGTTTTCCTTGTTTATTTTTGTGGGTGTTTTTGTTTAGTGTTGTTGCTTTGGGTTTATTAATTAATTGCACTCTGTTGCAAAAATTCGTCATAATACCTTACATGGAAATTTAGCTTTCATTAACTTTGCGGTCAAGAAGAATTAGGAAAAGTTTCTTATTTGATGCATTCAGATGTCAAATTTTACTTTTTTTTTATACTTCTGCTTATTCATTTACATTACTCTATTCATCTTAGACTAATTCCTCCATTAGTATAAAATTATTTTTCAGTGTTACATTTTTAATCATTTTAAGCTACCCAGAAGCCACTTCTTTTCTAGCACATGATCAGAAGGTATTGCCTCAAGCCTGCTATCTCTGAAGTCAACAGTAGAGAAGAAAATTAATTTTTCTATATCTTGTGTTCTAGTGTTAACACGTGTATAGCTGCAGACTTGTTCAGTCTAGAGATAAAGCTTAAAAAGAATACATAGAGAGAGAAAAGACTGGTCCAAAGGAAGAAAAGTAATTCACGTTATTATATTAGAATAATGATGTTTTACTTACAATGTGCTCTCAGATACTTGCTTTTCTATTTATAATAAGCTATTTTCATTGCATTACTGACACATTAAGAAAAACATGAGACATTTTTCTGGAAGATGTAACATTAATAATTTAAAAATTAAAATCATTCATATTTGTGGCAATACCTATCTACCACGATACATGGCAGCCCGTGTAAGCACCAGTGACTGGTGACAAGACACTGCTTACATGTTTGTATTAGCAGTAGATGTCAGCCACTCTCCAGCCAAGCCAATAATGTCCAATCCTGTGGACAGCTGATTGAAAAAGCGAGGATGACCTGAAACAAGAATTGAGAGCAACTTAGAGCAAATTTTATTGATATCTCTCAGGTTTCAAATTTAAATCATCTGCCTTTTCTGACTCAAATCACGGGTTTGTACTCAGAACACTTAAAGTTTTCAAAGCAAGTCCTGCTTATGGGGAGATCAATAGCAAACATTCATGGATGTCTTATTACTTGAAAAAACTTGAAAACATACTTTGTATAGGAGCTTCTGTATGGAATAATTTGCGTTTAAAAGAGAACCTCAGAATCACCTGAGCCTGTAAACACCGCAGGGATCTGCTCAAGGGCTTGGACTAGCCCATTTCCAGAGCCCTCTTCCGATTTCTGTGAGCTCGGGCGACGAGGACACGGTAGGGGACACACCCTTGGCAGTAACAACCTCCAGGAACTGGGGCGATTTGCATTTGAATGAGGAAGAGGGGAAGGCTCAGGCTCTTAAACTGGGGCTGCAGGAGTGAGAGAGGGGTGCGGAGGAGACAGTTTCTTCCCGAGCTACAAGGACACGGAGGAGACGTTTTGCCGGGTCTCGGCGGGAATGTCCCAGCGCTGCGGCGGGGAGAGAGGGTCCCCCAAGAGCTTCTCGACTCTTTTGTGGGGCACTTTCCCCACATGGTTTATGAGCTAGAATTCACCTCCTTAAACAGAGTTTGCTATTGAATCGAAGCAAATAACATCCCTGTATTTCAGCCGAAGTTGCTTTAACGACTTCTATAAACGATAATCCCGACTGTTGGGGGTCTACTTTTCCAGCACGAAGAGAGGAAATTCCTAACAACTGATGACGGGCGTTGAGAGGAGGCGGGAGGTGTCACGATTGCGACCTCTCTGCTCGCTGGGGAAGGACACTCAGCACACTGGGGACAGCCTGGCCCTAGAAGGGAGGTCAGCTCTCAACGCCTGGAGGGACCCTGTCACGTCGGATTCGGTTCAACACTAGGAACATCAGCATCTTTGACATGAAGAAATAAATGCGATTCTGCCCCGAGCGATGTCAGCAGAAATCTTTTGGACGCGTGAGCCTGCCGGCGCTGCCACATTTCGACACTTCCTGAAGAGGATGCTCCGCACCAGGGCTGCTCCCGCCGGGGCAACCCACGGCTCGGGGCTAGAGACAGAAATACCAACATGGCTTAGCTGTTTGCTTTACAAATCAGCACTTCTCTCCCTTTCCAGGACACACTGACTGGGAAGTTATCTAAAGTGACATTTCGCTGACCTACCATAGCCATTAATGAGCCTGCGATCTCCTAAGGCTGGGCTACCGATTTAGACCCGGTGACTTTGAAGGGAGCTTCGCCTTGAGAGAGAATGTGAGCCCCAGGAGCCCACAGCAGAATGCGTGTCCTGGGCAGTCAGATGATCCGAGCAGCACTTGAAAGCTGCACCAGACACAGCTTTGAACAGAGCTTGTGTCCGGTCGGATACCTGCGTCTCAGGCTCCGGGGACAGGTCCTGCAGGTCCCACAGAAGCTCCAGGGGAGGTCGGGTGAGGGGAGGAGGTTGCTCGACATGCGGCACGATGAATAGCAGGATAATGGTGCAAGCACACAGAGCGCAGCCACTCTGACTTAACTTCTGGCCACCTGTCCAACAACCCACGCGTTTGGGAGTGAAACATGCTCCCTTTTGATTAAGAGTACAAAAATCAAAGTATGCTCCTGACTCCCCTGACTCAATCAAACCACCACGCAAACAGGAAAAAGGACAGAACGCTATCCGCCACATCTGTTGTCAAGATTTTGCGCCCTGAATGCACTGCGTTGGGTCTTCACGGCTGCAAAAGTAATCACTGCAGAAAGCTGCGGCCCCGTCCTGCAGGAGCCATGGCTCGCATCTGCCCATCCGGCAAACAGCCTCCCTGTCCGAGCTGCCTCCGCTCCAGCTCCGCGGGGAGATCGCCCCCGCTGCGCTCGGGCCGAGCCGAGCCGAGCCATGCCGTGCCGAAGAGGGCAGCCGGCTGGGCAGAGCTCTGCAGCCTTGAAAAGCTGGAGCAAGGCAAGGGAGGGGAAACTCGGCGCGCTGCGGTTCCTGACCCGCTTGGGTATGTACGGCAGTCAGGGCTAGTTACCAGCCGAGATTTCTGTGGATACAGTGTAAAACATTTCAGGCCAAACAGCCTGAAAGAGAATTGACTTTGCTCTAGAGCTGGCTACAGCTCACCCAGTAAAAGACGTGATTACAGACAGGGATTTCTGTCTGATTCTGAAGGACCTGGGCAGGCAGGGCTCCTGGGTAATGGGCTGAAATCCACAGGGCTCCTTTATTGATGATTCCTAGGATTTCAGTCTCTTTTTCATTAAACGTTTGATGAACATAAAAAAGAAAAATTGCGAATTCTGTGTCATTTATGCCCTCATTTACCTAATGATATTGCTCCCCGGAGATACAGACAGCTCGCGTTTCATCAAGTGAAAGAGATTACGTCTTAAAAACTTGTTTCTGTGCTCCAAAAACAGCACTGAGCCCTACCCGGCAGGGACGGATGGTCATCAATAAATGAAGTTTCTTAGCAGAAACATTTTCAGCGCCCGCAGCCGGCCTTGGAGCCGAGCCTGCAGGGAGGCACAGTCACGGGCGTAGAGAGGGTGTGGGCTTACCTCAATCACGCTCTCTTCACCGTGAGCCTGAGGAAAGTCCCAGGAGGGACTCCACCACAGAGTAGTGCTCAAAAACCTACCTGTCCTTACTCCGTATTTCAGTGTGTCCCGGCAGTCCACCAGAATCTGCTCCAGAGACTCAGGGTTGTCCGAAAGCTCCAGGTTGAAGCCCTCCATGCCCTCCAGGAGTTGGTGCGGGTGGTGGAAGTCCAGCACTTTGGTGGATCTGTCAAAAGTCTTCCTCACGTAGTTGAGGAGGATGTCCACAACCTCCAGCAGGAACTGCATGGTCTGCTCCTCACCATTCTTGGAGGGCAGCAAATCTGTAGGGCAAACCACCTGTCAGCGCTTGCTTTGGGAGAGAGAAGCAGAGATGAACCAGCCTCGGCTGCCCGCCGAGTTCCAAGGACCTGGAAGCCGCGGCCCCAGCGCTGCCTGGTTGCAGCCGGGCAGACTCTCGGTCCCTCTCGCCCCGTAGCGAAGGGCGAGCCTAGGTCGCCCACGGCAACAGCAGAGGCACCTCTGCCCAAGAGCACGCCTTGCAACGCTAAGGCTGTGTGGGGCGAGGCATTCGCCTCCTGTGGGCCAAAAGTACCCTAAATCCGCAGCTGCCCCTACCTTGAAACGTCCCCACCTCCGCCCCGCAAAGGGATTGCTTTCCCTTTCCCACTCTTCTTGCAATGGCCCCGTACCAGCAATCACAGGCTGCTTCATTACTATTCTACTAAGGAGAATGAAAACATAGAATTACTCTCCTCCCGGATGCTGGATCTGGAGAAACCCCTGGAACTGCTGAAGCTGAACTGCAGATGATCAGCCCAAAGTACTAAAACTGCATTTCAGACAGCTTGCATACATTGCCAGTGCAGCTCCCAAAAAGCACAGACAGAGAGTTTTCTTCAAAAACAGCCAAGGAAAAGCACGATCTGAACGTGGCTGCACTTCCAGGAGAGATGAGGGCAAGACTACTAAGGGACATGCCTGAGCAAGGAGAAACTGTAAAGTGTTTACCTCTGGCATACAGATTGGAAAAGTCTGTCTCGGTGCGCCGGAACCTGGATTCTTTCTCACTGTTCTCACATGCCAGCAGGCTCTTGGAGGACTGCCTTTCCTTCAGAGAGCTGACGATCCGGCTCTTGTCTTCCAGGCTGTTGGTCCTTTGCAGGAACCCTACATTATTATTGCAAGGTGCACAGGTCAGAGTTTTCTCACTTCCCAACATGTTTAGAAATATCTAAAGCAGCTCTCTAGACAACAGTTTAAAGCGGTGTTGGCTCTAGATCTGACTAATGAGGTCAGGAATAAGGGTATTTATGGGGATTATTTGCCTCCAGGAGGGAGAGTTCAAAATGCCATCAACTGCAAAAACGCAGCCATGCAAAAAACAAAATTTTGTCATTTAGTGCAGTGGTAAATTCTTATTAAGTCGATCAGACAGATTCCACCTCAGTAATCAGCCACTGGAAGAGAGTTCAGGATGAGTCAATGCTATTTCAGCCTGCAGGCGAAGTTTATGGACCTAGCAGACAGGGGCAATGATGTATGATTAAAATCGGGGCCATTTTCAGTTCTCCTCGTGGTGCTCTCACGCACAAAAGGCATGAGAACAAGCAGCCATTCTGGAGCAGGCGTCCTGAGAGTGCTAGAGCTCTGAGGATGCCAGTAGCACTCATATAACCCCACCTTCCTATTATCAGTAAGTACTGATGCGGATTTTCCACCTGAAAAGATGCTTTGATGCTAAAACCTCCATCCTCGGAGGTTTTAAGAGCTCCACTTTCAGTGGAAATGCATCTTTGACGCACAGAACCCGAACACAACTGCCGCTGTTATATGCCACAGCATAATAAACCCGCTCACCCCAAGAATTATGGGGGCGGGAGCCACGCAGAATTTGAGGCGAGTAATGAGATATGTCTACCTTAACAAGGCAGAGAGAACAATTAATTTTCTGGATTTGATCTATTACATCTATGATGTCCACTAAAACACATAGAGTGTCGGGCTTTTCGTCATTAAGGAAAGCATCGGATTTTGACCTTCCAGGTTGCAGCGAGCGTGCCTGTATGTTGGAAGAGGCACTACGGCGGCGCCGGTCTCCTTTATTCTTTTTTAAAACAAGCAACAATCGAAACCAAGGCTCGTCGCGGCGGAGGGTATCCGCCAAAGAAGAGGGTTTAGCAGGGAGGAAAACAACGTCCTGAGCTCGCTCACCCACGTCCCCCGATGCCGTTTCTCTTCAGCGCCCTCCGCTTTCCGGCCATGTGTTCCTGCTCTCCGGAGCCGTGACGGCGGACCGGGATTGTGGGCCCCTCCCATTGGGCGCCTACCGCCGGCTCATACGGGACCCATGCATCTTGGACAGGCATAGAGGCTGAACCTCGGAGGAGAAAAGGGAGCGACAGTGAGCTGCTGGCCAATTACTCCCGGCGCGGTATCAGTGAGTACCTCGGACCCTGCTGCCAGCCAGGCAGTCACGAAAGAGCTATCGAAAACAGAGCACTCGGCTGGCAGGCCTTTCTGCATCAGTCGGGCACCCATAGGAGCCTCCAGGAGGGTGGCCCACAGGTATGTCGGAGCCATCTCTTCAGTGAACACCTGACGTTTTGCCTTTTAATTCCGGTCTTTTACTGATTAGTCTTTTTCTGTGATGCTTTTACGAAAGAGACAAAGACTATTTAAGGGAAACTCTCTTCGTGCATAAATTAAGAGTAGCTGTCCATATATATATATGTATTACGTTGTTACTGCTTCTAATGGCTCTTGCAGCGATCATTAGCTCCTGCAACAGCTAGTGCTATTTGCCCGCTCATTAGGCGGAGCAGCTGATATCGAAGCAGGTGCAGTCTGAACTGAATTATGGATCCTCTTTTACGAGGTCCTGGGGCTTCATTTTGCTTTTTTTTTAACCCCACCCGTCTTTTTTTCATGCTCTCAGTAGCAATGCTCAAGTGGGACGAGTTCCGTGAGAAAAGACGTCTGCAGGAACAGCGGCGCCCTGCTCACCTCGAAAGCCGCGCTCCTCGCACAACTCCCACTCCCCTGGACGTGCATTCCTCGGAGGTTGGGAAAGGACGGAGCACCGCTTCAGTAACAGAAGGGCTGCAGTTGCCTCCAGTTCAACTCTCATGGGGCCCAGCGAGGCCGTGGCTTCGCTGAAGGGTCTGACCTAACTAGACGCTGCGGGCAGGGAGCTCCGTCCTTGCCCGAAGGACTCTGCGGCTGTTGTCGCCCGCGGAGGCTCCCGGACCCTCGGTGTCCCGAAGCCGGCGGCGGGGATCAGCTGGAGCCGCGCACGGGGCCTGCCCGCCCGCGCCTCGTGGGGCCCGCGGGGCCGCGCTGCGGAGGCTCGAGGGCGGGGATTAGAGGACGAAGAAAGCCTGAAGGCAGGGTCGCGCTGTCGGCCGACATGAGCCCAGCCGGCTGTAGGGAACGTGCCGTTCGCTCAAGTCACTTGGCCATGGCAGTGTCTCGTGGACTGGGAGACTCAGTATAAGGGGGAGCTCGGGAGACAGGGACAGCCCCCGCTCTGGAGCCGCCGGACGATGTCATTTGCCGAGCTCACACGAGGATGGTGTGGGACGTTCCCCAGCGCCGTCCCGGTCTGCCAAGAAGCGTAACAGCCGGGCCTCGAAGGCTCCTTCCGCTCCCGGGGAAAAACGCATGACTGAAGCCGAACCTTTCATCTGTATCCTATTTGAAAAGCGGGGGCGGTGTAGGAGAGTTCCAGCAAGAAGCAGAGTATGAAATAGTGTCCGCACTGCTTCTCCTGGAGCAGCGGAGAGCGCAGCCTTTCTCAGCAGTAGGTCCGTCCTGCAGGTGCGTTTTCATCGATTCGCTTTAAGAGAACGAGTTTTCAAAATCCGAGTGACACCAGACTGGCGAGGCACTACCTCGGTGTGCAAAGTGACCACAAATTCGGGGTGATATCACATCAGGCCTCGTACAAGGAAGCTGTGTGAGCCCCCCTCGGCCTGGACACATGTCCCGAGGCGGAGATAGACCTGTCGGGTCCCAGCCCGCACCGCATCTGTCGGGGGTACACGTCGGTGGCGGCTACAGGAGATCCTGGTCCCCCGCCGTGGTCGGGGTGTTTGGCAGCACCTATGGAAATTATGCTTGGCAGCATAAATCCCACGGACTCAGGAGACGAGCCCAGTTTCTAACACGCAAGCCCCACTCTCCCGCGTTGCTCACTGGGCTTGGAACCATCAGCTGGCCGAGGCCAAACAGAAGATGCACCGGAGCAATTTTACTACGTTGAGCACTTCCACTGATGCCCAGCAAATGTTAGCAGGATCAGTCCCAGCAATAACAATAGCCAGAGTGGGAGAGTAGCATACAAATCCAGATAAGAGAGAAACCTACCCATATTTTGCCCTCCGTGACAGTTCATTATACCGCTTTAAAATAGGGTTTTGGTTGTTGTTGGTTGGTTTTTTTTTTTTTTTTTTAGTGGATATGTGCAGAGAGGAATAGTGGGGGGAAAGGGTCGGGAGGGGTGGGGGTGGTGGCGGCAGCAATGCTCTATTCAGGCGGTGGCTTTCAATCAGAAAAGGAAAAAAAGCTAATCCTTAAATAGCTCAGTTATTTAAAAAGAAATTACATACGTCTTGGATACGTAATTATTTAAAATGTCAAACACATAATATACAACCCAGATGAAAGAAACAACTCACTGTTCAAGACCTGCCTTTTCTCAGAGGTCAACCCTTATTTAAAGTTTGCGTTCGAAATTAATCGATTTCAGTGTGATACACACTGAAGGAACAATTCCAAGGCGCCTCTGTGACTATACAATATTTAGGATCCGGAATGATATCTTGTGAAAGGTAAGGACAAGGAGATATCATCTGCAATAATCAAATGTCAACTCATTTAGCATGTTTTAATTAGGATTCTTGGCAATCTTAATACTTTATTTACCATAGGCAACCTTCTCTGTATGCCTTTGTGAAGGTGTTTGATTCAAAAGGGAGGGCTCATACAAGCAAAAACAGTGGTAGTGATCAAATCTGAGTATTCCAAAACGGCATCACTCACTATTCAGAGTATATTTTTCATATAAAACAGAAAAGAGCCTGTAGAGGAAAACCGAACAGCAAACCACAACCAAAAATACAGCTTGTCTTGAACTCCCTTCACAAAGCCTTCACTACGCTCTCTTATGCCCTTCTCAAATCCAAAATGGTGGGATATTTCATTTTTTATCTCATTGAGAGAAGCTGCGCTGTCCCTCTCTAACCCCCGTAGTCTAGCAACACGGAGCAAGCCTAAATGCGCGTTACTTTATCAGTTCTGCTTGCCGGGCTAAATTAAAATTATGGTGAAAATGCCCGTCGCTCCAGCCACTGAGGGGACTGGTAGGGAAATGGTCCATTAAACCCAGATCAGGAGCTATTTATAGAACTAAGCGACTACTCGTTAATGTCGCCAGCGGCTACCAGTGAAATCTCTCAGACATAGGGCTAAACATTTGCACCCCGATTCTTTTCCTGTTCGTACTTCCAGGTGACAAAACGTTTAATGAATGGACTTGGATTCGAGCAAGCAGGGAAAGAGGTTAAACGCTCCTTTGCATCGAAAAAAGATTAGTTTCTCCCGCGGCGTATTTTCCATCTCCCCGAAAGAGACAGAAGGGAAAAGGGGAAAGAATTTCTAAGCGTAAGGGGTATGGGCTAAACGGAATGACTCTCCGCATCAGAATATGAAGATCTGACTGTTAGTCTCTGAAAGCGAAGGCGCTACTGAGATATCTAGAGAAGGAAGACAGCTTGTTATCTGCAAATGAATCTCTTGCTATAACGTTGCGATCTGATTGTGCATTTGTTTCCCTTCTGCATTTCATGTGCCTGCGCGCTGACTGGCTGCCAGCGCTATCTTACCAGCACAGCAAGCTGACGAATTGCTCTTTAATAAGGCTCTCGTTAATCTTTTTTCCCCAGGAGATCCGTATTTTCTAGTCAGATAAGGCTGAAAAATTTCAGACAGTGAGAGGCGGCGAACCGGCCCCCTGCCCCCCGCTTTTCCTCCCCGCCTGCCACCTCGGCGGGTCCTGCACTATCTTCTCCCGGAGCGCCCGGCGCCTGCACCCCCCCGTGCGTGGCAAGAGGGGCAGCGGGGCCGCCGCCGTCCCTGTCCCGGCGGACAAAACCGCGGGCAGCTCCAGCCCAAGGGGAGGGACAGCGGCGGGGCCGGGGCCGCCCTGCGCCGGCAGGGGGCGCCCGAGGCAGGGCCGGCAGGGGGCGCTCGGCCCGCGCTGCCCCCGCCCTCACGTGTGGGGGTATGGGGTGAAGTGTGGAGTGAAGTGCCACACTTACCGCATATCTTCAGCCCGATCTTCCTGGTGCACCCGTGAGCCACGCCGCACCACGAGTCGTAAGCTGGAAGAGAGAGCAGAGTTGTTCCCCTGGGGCGACGGGGCCATCAGACCCCCGCGCCCCACCCCGGTCCCTCGCATGGCTGCATCGCCGTGAGAAACGGCTGAGCCCGAGCCCGGCGGCGCTGAGCGCGGGGCAGCTGAGGCTCGGGTGATAGCGAGGTGACATGCTGGCCTGCCCAGAGGAGAGGAGAAGGCACTCGGGACCCGACATCTCATCATTTACTGGCGGGGCTCCAGGGAAGTAGCAGCTTAAAATAAAGTGGCGTGAAATGGGGTCACAAAAGAGTTCAGAAATTAATTGGGTGAAAAATAGTATTTGACTACATGATTGGACTCGCATCATTGAGCCTCGGACGGACTGACGGGCCGCCGACGGCCCTACTAGGACGGCACCCCCAGAGGGAACAGGCTGCTTCCCAGCCCCTCGAGTCGTGACTCGGACACGCCCCGGTCGGCCCCAACTGAGCCCACGGAAAACGGGCAACGAAGCCCAGGACCGTGGTGGAGGGTGCGCCAGCCGCGCCCTGGCACTGCCGCGCCTCTCCCGTCCGTCGCCCGCGGCTGGGGCAGCCGCCAAGTCTGGCAGCGATAGAACCCAGAGGACGACCTAGGGCTGGAGGGGGGCGGCTGCCCTGGTGTTGGGGCGTGAGGGGAGAAGGTTTCAGAGGAACCAGGACGGGGACGGCTCACCCAAGCCCGGAGAGTAGCGGCCCGACTCTCAGGAGGGGGAAGCGGGGAAGCGCCACGGCGCTCCTGACCTGGCGGAGGAGCCCTCTGGGCAGGGGCACTGCCAGTGCCCGGGGCGGGGAGCCCGTGTGGGCAGGGCGGCGTGCGGCTGCCAGCGGTTATCTTAGTTTTAGTCGTGTTGCCAATTAATTCGACTTTAGCGTGTGCCACCTCAGTCGAAGGCAGCAGTGCCTGCCACTCACCCCAGAAACAAGACCTAATGCTGCCATTCGCCCCCTGCCCCGTTTTTTTCAGTTTCAGAATAATGACAGTAATAACTCCGATGCTCATGCCTCGTAGCTCTTTCAGGGTAAGAGCTATCACCCGCTCTGCTGCCAACCTTTAATTTCTTACTGTTGCCCGCTCTTTGTTTCTGATGCTTTATAGCATCGAGAGGTTTTTTTTTTTTTTTTTTCTCTGTAGGCGAAGATTTGAACTGCCTGGCAGGGTTATAAACTGATTCTCTATCCACCTGCAGCAGCCTTTGCTTTCCACTCGCACCTCAATAACTCAAGGCGAATTCAGAGTAATTAGGAATATAACGCTTTGAAAAGCTGCAATTAGCATCCAAATTTCGCTTGATTACAGGCTTCAGCGTAGGCTGAAAAGAAGCTGCAGCATTAGCATTTATAAAATGTAGCGGGGAGACATCCGCTTTAATACCCCGGTGTAATTTCGCCCTTTAACGGATTCGTTTTCTCCACATCCCTTCCAACATCCCGATTTTTTTGTCCATCTGGGAGGTCAGTTTATTGTCTATATCTCTCAAACGTGGCTGTAAGATAAAGACAATGTTGGCCAGTAAGGTTGGCTTTTCCTCACAGCGTTTTATTCGCCACGGACCGACCTCTCCTGTTCCCACTATGAAGATGGTTTCTTTGTGTCGAGCACTTTCCGCACCTTGCTAAATGGCGCGGAACAGAGCTTCACAGATGTATCGTTTCGTTTCGAAACTGGTCTTTCTGAGCCTAAATGGAGAAAGCCTCCAGAGCACTTAAAACGAGGAAAATATTAAAACCTACTTGTGGGTCGCAGATTAGGCGGGGTGGGGTCCGGAGCATCGTTGGAGGACGAGGGAGCAGAGGAAGCCATCCCTTCACAAAAGCCCCAGTCCTCGGAGCTCGTATTTCGTCGATATTCCTGAGGGGTGGGCAGCAAGGAATTTGCTAGAAGGAAGAACAGGCGAGTTTAGTAGTCTAGTCTCCTGGAGCACCGTACCGGAGTCCCGTCCAGACGCCAGCGGGCGGCAGCCGCGCACGTCCCGAGGCGGCTGTAGGACCGGCCGAGCCGGGAAAATGCCTCGACAGACTGAAGAGCAAAATCTTCCCTTCGCTAGATTCCAGGGCGCTACCCCCCGCGCCTGAATGACGGATTTAGCAGAGCATGAAGTCTATAGCAATTGTATCGGTGGCCACAGAGCAAGGCAGTTATATGGCTCGCATCAAATGGAGACCAACGTGAAAAGTGGGCTTCGAAATCACCTGCCCAAACGACCGACAATCTCAAACAAAGCTGGCTTCTCGTCTTTACCAAACACACGTCAGGATAAGCATTCAGAAAAGACTGACAGATAAAAACCCCGCCACCACAAAGGTGCGTTTTGCCCAGGTCCAATGACAGGCGCCACATACATGTGTATTTGCACACACATGTTTCAGCAAACAGGGGCCAGTATGTGCTCCAGCACTAACCAGCGATCTCCCGTGCCCGTGCTCGCTTTAGCGACGCAAATGGCAGGAGAGGCATGTCTGTCTGGGGAGAGGAAGGCATAGGACCAGCCCTCGCTCCTCGCCAGATGTTCAGTTCGTTCCTGTCGGACACGGCATTCCGATAACCAATACAGGGTCGCTGATCGAGAATTGCCGGGTCAGTGCCCAGCTCGTCTCTTTGTCCCCACGGCTACCTGCGATTTATTTTCTTCTCCTTGTAAAGAAAATGAAGGTCGTGGTAACGAAAGAATGCTTTCTTTGTTAGCGGCTTTTTTCAAATCGGTAGCTACCGATTAATTTCCACTGCTGGGTGGATTTACATCCGCGCGTAAACGCAACGGGTGAACGATTTCAATGGAAAATAGGTATTTAATATATATTTTTTTAAGACGAGTAAGAAAACAGTCATAAGCAGAAGATATTTTCTAGACAATGCCTGGAAGTGAAGTAACAGGTTAACACTATGTCTAAGGCGGTAGCTGTATCAAAAACCAGGTTATTCCTTTATTCATACGACAGCGACCAAAACCGATTTTGGGGGGCAAAACGCTCCAGAGGTTCCCAAAGGCTTGAAAAAAATAGGATGTTGTTTAGAGGACACTTACCGAGGGGGCGAGCGGACACTCTTATTGGCGTAGTCCAGGTTGGCAGGGCGACTCTAGCCTGGGAGCGACCCGCCGCTTATAAACTCTGCCAGAAACGACGTCGGAATACCAATCGCGCCACGGAATTTAATGCAAGATGACCTTTTTTTCCAGAAGTGCTCGGATTTGCTTTTTTAAAAGCGTGAATCGCCGGTTGATCTGCTTCGACGCAGGCATGAGTCACAGGACTGCCGCCACCGCCTCCGCTCCGCTCCTCACGGGGGCTGGGGACCGCTGGGGCGGGGAAGGGCGGCCCTCCGGCCCCCGCTGCTGCCGCTGCTCTGCTTCGCCCCGGGGCGGCGGGGCTGGCTCCCGCGGCGGGTGGGGCTGTCCAGCCGCGGCAGGGGCGGCACCTCAGGCACCTCGTGCGGACAGAGCCAGAGGCTTTCCCTAGACAGCACCGGCTTGACCCGAGGTCGCCAGCTGTGCTAATAGGCACCGCACGTACCGGCGCACCATTGAGGCGATGTGGCCGAACTCCCGCCCCGGCTGTCCCTCCGTCCCCGGCCCTCCCCGGATCATGGTGCAGGACTCGAATGAGCCAGGCGGGGTTCGTGTGAATTGTAGCTTAGCAACACCCCCTGTCCCCCCTTCGCCGTGCCCAGGGTCTAATGTGACCCGCTGGCTCAGCCCGCGGCTCGCCCCGCTCCTCCCGCCAGAGGGTGGCAGAGGCACGGGTACCGCTGCAGGGGAACACCTGGATGCCTGTGACTTGCCCTCAGTGTTGCCATTAGATTACGATTTTATATCAGACATTCCTATGCTAAAACCAGAAACATTAAGACAGCAAGTTTTTTGCACCCCTGACAACCCCAAGTCTGTGTTACTCCACCTCGCACCCCGAATATGCTTAGCCAATATTTCGCGGCGGTGACCGCGGTGCTGTATTTCAGCATGCCACGGTAGTTGCGCAGATGCCTAAACCAAACCCTTCTCAAAAAGATTTCACGTAAGGGGCTGGGAGGAATCCGCAATGAGATGAGAGGAGGGGGAACAGCCCGATGGAGCCAGAGAATTCCATCCTGTGCAGGAGATCCTGGGCAGCACAACGAACAGCAGGGCTGTGTCCTTTCTGAAGGACTCGAGAGAAAAGCAAAAACTTACAAGCCCATTTTGTAAAGGAAATCGTCCAACTGACAGCATTAAGTAGCCAAGATGACTGCTTTGTCGAGCACACTTATTCTTCAGGAACTGGACATGTAACAAAAACACCGACAGCACAAAGGCTATTTTTTAAACATAGCTTTGCAGATATTTATGGCCCTGGCTGACACGACCTTTTCTCATATCTAGACTATTGTTTTAAGGCTGGTTTAAGCAATCGAGCAAAACATTTGCTCAGTACAGGGTGTGAGAAATAATAATATAACTGTAACTAATTGCCTTTATAAACGTAAACAAGAGTTCAGAGGAAGTCATAGCAGGATTGCAGTACAAAGAGTCAACGAAAGACCACGCAAAGAACCCCTAAGCCATCAGTCACTGTGAGGCGCGACCCGGCCGGGTGTATGCCCAACACGCTTTTCCTTTCCTTCTGGCTTTCCAGAAGCGCGTGTGTGTGGAGTAAATAGACATGGCTTAACATAAGTATTTACATCTTCGTAGAATCTGAGGCCTGCGAGGGGAAGGAGCCAGACAATGAAGGCCAGCGAGCCTTCCGCGGCACGCTGGAAATCCGACTCTTTCCAGCACCTCGAGGAGCCCGGCGGCGCGGCGCTCCCGGCTCTCCACTGCGCTCAGCACCGCGGACAGCGCCCGCTCCGGCCGGGCCGCGCAGCCCGGCACGGAGAGCGGCACGGTCGGGGGCGCGGGTAAAGCCTCGCTCGGCCTGGGCGGTGTGCGGAGCCCTCGCTCCCTCCCGGCCGTGCAGGAGGATGCCGAGGGCGAACCACACCGAGCCCGGCCCCGCTCGCCGCCTCACGGCCCCTCTGGGTGGCGCTGCACCTCAAGCTCAGACGCTCCGCAAAGCCCAGCGCAGACAGAGCCCGGCCGGCCGCTGCTGCCGATGCTCCCAGCCCGTGCTCGTCACCATCTATTCGTCCTGACCCCGGCGGCGGCAAGGGGAAAGCAGCAAACCCTGGGGCTCCGCGGGTCCCTCCCTCGCTCATCTACAAGCGTGGCTGAACAGCACGCCTGGAAATGCTTGCTAACTCTTATTTGCCACGGACCTGCTTGAAAATCCGACCTAAATCGGAACTACTCCAGCTCAGAGTCTTAATTCAGAACTCGCCACACCAGCTGAAATCTTCGAAACACCCTTGCCAGGTGCACACGTCCAGGCTAGGGCACTCAGAGATGTTCTGCTTTTATCAAGAGAGTTCAAAGTCTTCCCTTCCAGCTGTGCTGCTCAAGCAGTCTGCTATTTTCTCCTTTCATGTGATTGTCCCTTCCCTGAGGCTGCTGCTCGAGTGCACTCTAGGCACAGCGTACAGAGAATCTCTTGGCAGCTGGGGACCACAAGACTTGGGCTTTACTTCGAATCCAGATGTTTACTGAGGATGTGAAACACAGGAAAAACCACTGATGCATGGTATCAGCAAGGCAGTAGAATGAGGATATGTAATTCCCTTAGCTGAAGCTTGTAAGCAGCACGTCAGTTAGAACTCACTTCTTTAAAAAAACAGACCTTACATTTCTTGAATCCACTCCACAAACTGGGCATGCTAAAATATGAATCTAGAAGACCATGAGTGGGCAAAGGAATGAACGTGATGCAATAAATATCTTTAGCAATAAAGACTACTCAATTATATTGTTTTTATAGGTGTGGACATATAAACAACAGCTGTCAAGCAGAAAAAGATGCACTATTTGTATTGCAACCTGTAGATTTGAAAAGTCAGTGTTTGGAGCTGCATACAACATTTTAAGAGAGATGAGCGCCTCCTGCCTGCGCCGTAAGGAGGTCGCAATGTAACTACATGGCGATGGAAAGGCAAATAGCGAAAAGTCCCTGCGCCGTAACATTTCTTGTTTCTTCATATTCTGAATTATAGTCATGTTATATTTGCACTTATGTGCAGGAAGGGCAGTAAATTTAACTTCTGGTGATATTATTATTTTTATTATTGTGGGGGGTTCCTCCATGAATGCTCTGTGTTGCCTTTTAATTGCCATTTTGTTTGCCATTGACTATGAATATTTTAGCAGGCTGGGATTAGGTATTGTTGTATACAATTTCCTTGAAACTGTATACAACAATAAGTACACAGAATATCTGTAATGTTTCTGGACTTGTGGGTATTTTTGTCTTTGCAGCCTGTGGTTTTTGTTTTTTTTTTTTTTTGTTCTTACTTGTTTGGTTGTTTTGTTTGTTTTAGTTTTGGAAATACAGCTATAATTTGTAATCCAGTACATTATTACAAAATACATTTATTGCACCTGGTATCTCTTTCTTTTCCTAACATTTCTGGTATACAAAAATGTCTACCTCTATCTTAGATAGAACGGAATAATTTAAACAATAAATTTCATTAACTCTTGACACAGAAAAACTGGAAAATTGTTCAAAACTAAGTGTTTCAGAACTTTTATGGCTATCATCTTCACTATTTAAAAAATACAGATAATAAATTCCTCTATAGCTGTAATGAAAAAAATGAACATTCCAAGAGAAAAAATAACAAATTAGTGCTTTGATTATTTGGCCCTGTCCAGAAAATTCTACAAATGGAGACTGGGTGAACACCGTGGATTTATTCTATCACTCTACAGATAACTTTGGCTGTTTTCTGTCACTTGACAAAAATTAATTGAAGATGAATGATACGTTTGCTTTGGGGTTTATGAACAGTCAGTACTGATGTACCCAACTGGCCCATATTTAGGCATCATGTATATCACTCAAATTTCAGAGACAGCTCAAGATAAACTGCCAGACAGAATATTCAGACTGCTGTGATGAAGGACATTTAGAAAAGTCTAATCTGAAGCACATTGTTTTACATACTTTGTGGCTTCTTGTTTCAGGATGTCCCCTTCCTGATCCATGCTGCCATGTCTTGTTGTCCATTTTGATCTGCTTCATCTGAAAAACATCCCAAAGAACAACCCACATCCTGAAACAATAGCAGTGGAAAATCCCAACTCCCAATACCCCCAAGCAAACATGGAAAGAAACAAGGAACCCTCTTACTTCCAAGCTGTAACAAAACCTTTTTTATCTAGATGGATCAAACAAAATTACTTAAATTAGGTAACTGTGATTGTGACTTGAAAAAATAACATTAGTGAGAGTACACCCAGTAAACTGACTCTCTAACTGTTTTAGGAGATATTAATTTTAACCTGTGTCTGAAAGGAAACTTATTTCCCACCTGTCCCAGTAACCAAGACAGCTAATGCCTGGATATATTTCCCCTTATGAAATTGTAATTGTTACATATCACTGAATTATATCTTTTTATCCCATAGGAAGGCATCGGTTTACAATGAGAACATTCATCAGTTTCAGGAATGCTGGTACAGCAGATCATGCAGTTTGACTGCAATCTCAGAACAATTTTGAGAGCTGGATTCTGGGACTTTTAACATAGTTGTTTCAATTAAGCATATTTCATAAATAATCCTCAGGAAACAAGAAGCATGGGCTTTTCTGCTACTTTGGAAAAAGAAAAAACACTTCTCAAATCATAACTCAGTTTCAGGTATGGGTTTTGCAAGCCTCAAAAGTTTCTGGGATCATTGGAGTTGTGATCTTTGCTAAGCTTTTTTTCCGTTTTGGTTGGTTGCTTTGGGGTTTTTTTGTTTGTTTTGGTTTTGTTTGTTTAATTTTGTTTTTTCCCCTTTCCCCCCTCTTTCCTCTCTGGTGAGTAAATCAGGTTTTGCCCTGACAAGTTTGTTAGTTAGCCCTGGATAGCCATCTGTATTAGTGAAATAGCAAACATTCTGCAGCACTGCATTTGAAACCCTTCCTTCCTCTGGTTTCTTTTAAGCTACAGTATTACAGAAATGGAAACAAAAATTGTTTCCAAAATGGAAGGTTAGGTGCACCTGATTGAAATACAAGTGGCTTAAGAAAACACCAATACCTACATTTTTTAACACAGTGCAATCAAAGCATGGACACACAAACAGGATGGTATGAACAGCTACAGAGATGGACAACTGGCCCACTGTACTCTGAAAAGTACAGTGATATGTGCTTGTCTACCAAGATGTGTTTGTCCATCAGAAAAAAA